CCGAATGGGGCAGCCCCATTAACCGCAACTGCATGGGGGTGAACTGGCACTATTCTAATCATAATTATTGCCTGGCAAACCTGCAATGCAGATGTGTTAAACTCACAGCTGAGCGAAATTCTCGCCTGCCGAATATACTTGGATTTCAGCAACTCAATGGAGTGCAGTTATCACGCACGAAGGGTGATGCCATCTTTGATTATTGATGACACTTTGCACGCGCCATCTCGCGGCAACTGCTTTTGCTATTCAGAGCCCCCTCCACCCGCCCCTTCCCCCCACTCTCCCCCCACCACCACCACTACGCTCTGCGCTCGACGCATATCCATGATAACGTGTTAATATTGGCGAAGTCATTAAAGTTACACAGCTGTATCTTTATTCTGAGTCACAGTATAGCAAAGCTTAGCTATCATAGATTGTTAAGATCTGTATTAGTAGGATCCTAGATATATGCTCTGAGCGCGAACACGGGTGATGGGAGGGGTGCTCTTCATTCGTTGCCAGTGAGTTAGCATCAGAACACCTGCCGTCAGGTGAGCGCTGTCGCTCTGTGGCGCACTTTGTTTAGGCTAATTTTAGCATGGCGGAATGATATTTAGAGTGGCGGGTGCATTTAGGATGGCGGGCTCGACGATAGCCTGGCGGGCCGCCGCAGGCTATAAGTGCTCTGGAGAACCCTGCATATTATATACCATAACCACCTAATCATAACGAGTGATGTGTCCAAATAATTTGCAAGGTCTGTTGCATTTTTCAGCCATCCATCTGAGAGCACGACTGAAATTGTACGTTCATAACCGTAGCAACAGACCCCAGATGAGCCCAGACGCTCTGCGGCTCTTGTTACTTTTAATCTTGAATCTTAACATATATCATGTAGCTATGGCCGTGCGTATCCATTTACCAGTTATGCGCACATAAGCTGTTACCATAGAAATATTAGAGACACTATATATTATTATTTCTATGGCTGTTACACTCTGGGGCATAGGAACGAAGTATTATTGAGGGGGCAGTAAAAGGCATCGCTGGTTTTTTTTTTTAATTTATATAATTAACAGAGTGAGAGAGAAAGTCTAAGATAAAGAGAGAGAGAGAGAGTAGTAAATTGAGACGGGGACAGGAAAACGGTGATACGGTCAGGTGTGTATGCGAGCGGGAAACGGGGTACAATTAGGTCGTGCGAGATGGTGTGCAAGGGGATGGGAGGTGGGAGGCAGGGGGAGGGAGGTCAAAGGCAGTTGGAGGGAGATGGGAGGTAAGGGGGTGGAAGTGAGCGGCAAGGGGAGTGAAGTGGGAGGCAGGGGGAGGGAGGTGAGAGGCAGGAGGGAGGGAGGTGGGACGCAGTGGGGAGGGAGGTGGGAGAGAAGGACACCCCCGCCCCCTCTAATTAAACTTGGAGATCCATGCTCATATGTTCAAATTTTTTGTCATTCATTAACTTGTATTTGAATTGTTATTATTGTTCTTGTTATTAGAATTAGCCCATAGAGATTAGGTGGGTGCGAAAGTGTAGCTGATATATTTGTTCGAATTGGCTACGAAAGTCAAACAAGAATAAAGAAATAAGTCTTGCTATGAACAAATGAATTTATCAGCAGAACACCAGACACCAGATGAGACCTGTCGCACTGCGGCACTTGTTAAGCTTACTCTCCACCTTTTGCACTGGTATTGCTCTAATGAAGATTAAATGTTTATTGACGAATGAATCGAATCAATCGCACGTTTTATTTATAGAAGAGATATATCTTTATGCTCAAGCCAAAAAATTTCATGAAATTTCCAGCACCTAATTATGTTACCATACAAATTTTGAATTTTTATGTATTTTGGATATTTCTCAATTACCACAAAGAGTGAGGAAGCAAAATTTTCGCCATAGGTTTTATATGTACCAAAATAGCGCATCAGGATTTTTCTTTAAGCTTCATATTTACTGAGAAAAATGAAAAAACTGCTTAAAAATCAAGTTGTGTTAGATTAGAACTGTAGAATTGAAAATTTGAGCGAATAAAGAGGCATAACTCATAAAATGCGGCACTTAACAATCCCTGATGCGCTTTTTTTACAGCAATATGTTACATGGTTTGCACAGTCCTTGAAAAGTCCTTGAATTTGAGGGGAGTCCTTGAAAAGTACTTGAATTTGAGGGGAGTCCTTGAAAAGTACTTGAATTTAGTAAATGTTGATTTTGTGCTTGAAAAGTCCTTGAGTTTAATGAAAATGTCCTTGAATTTTAGAAAGAATCCTTGCCTGTAATAAAAAGAAATTTTGTACCATCAATAATGTGCAAACCTCAATAAAAATTGTGTTAAATGAGCTTAAAAAGCTATAGACACAATAGACAGTTAAATGATGATTACAGTAAGTCAGTAAAATCAGTCAGTAAATCAAGGTATGTTGTAGAAGTGACAGTGTTTAGAAGGGTTTATTAATGTGATCCAGGTAAGTTTTAGAGGTGACAGTGATTAAGAATGGGGTTATTATTAAATTAATCCCTGGAGGTATGTTTTGTTCTGTGTATGAATTCCGATAAAATGTCCGATAAAATGTCCTTGAAAATTTTTTCAGTCCTCCTGTATGAACCACATTGTGTTACCATTAAAACGAGTGTAAAATTTAATTAATCCGAGTTGTAATCACAAAGATACATCGACTACTATGTCATAAATCGAAACGGAGAAATCAGCGTTTTTCAATTTTTCACAATGATCGACCGCCTGTGTGCAAAATGGGTAAACGTATGTGAAACATCTACTGTTAGTACTTACTGTGTGTGACATATTCATGACTAACTGACACCACTAAATTGGTAAAATGTTCCATGCACCTTGACAAATTGTGAGAAGTTACGAGGTTGCCATCGTCACTAAGCTATATATGTCAACAAACGCGCGCCTAATGTAAGGTATGTAGCGAGGTGAAAGAACTATTTTGGGCAGCGTGGGATAGTTCACCTATCACTGGCAGATGACAGCTGTAGAAGGGTTGATGTTGATGGATACTGGCTCAGTGAATATCGTGAAAATTCTAGTTGTATCATGTCTCTGACGTCATCAGTGACGTCAGCCGCAGCTCACTACACGTGTACGCGGGCAATCAAAATGCTCTAAAAGTTCACATGTATCGTTATATGGAGAAATGAGCATGTAGACAGGTGGCACATAGTGCAGTTAGCCAAGGCTCCACACTAACTTTTTTTTTCAGTAAATCGAAAATGAAATCTGGTGGCCCGAAAAGAAGAAGCTAATATCATTAAATTGTTTAAGCCTAAAATTCCCTTTAAATCGCTCTTTCACAAGGCATTAAATTTAAAAAAAAATTTTTTTCTCAAAATTCATCCTTTGAGATTTGAATCGATAAAAAGGGGAATTTTTTTTATGGGCCAAAATTACCCCCTTGTGAAAATGGACTGTTCCAAAAATATGTGACTGCACGTCGCATACTTTCGCACACGAACTTTCGAATGCTGGCAGTTTCCCTTCGGATCTGAAACAGTGTACGCGCGGTGTATTGTGTACAGCCTGCATGCATGCAGCTAGAGCTAGAGCTCCAGTCCAGCTAGCTAGCAATATACATTACATACAGTGCAGTACAGTGTAGTGCAAATTGCGACCAGTGCGGTGTCTGCTGATTTGTGTTCATTTGATCACGCTTGCTCCGCGAATTGCTCGCTCTCTTTTGAATGAGATTAGCACGTAAGAAACAATTATTTTTATCACATAGACACTTTGAAATTTTAGTGGCCCGATCGGGCCACCAAATTTTATCTTTTTGAAATTTTGGTGGTCCGACATCAAGTTTTGGTGGCCCCGGGGTACCGGGACACCGCTAGTGTCGAGCCTTGAGTTAACCATCGAATAGTTGAAAATGAAAAATCGGTAAAATTTTGCCTAAAACCTTAAGAGTAACCTTAATGCAGGAAATGGAGGACAGAGAGTTAATTAGATGCGTTTAATATAATTATTTACATAAGTTACGTATGAGTAAATGCAGAAATTCGGAGCTGTGCATGTTAATTGTGTGTAACAGCCATCAGTGCAAGCAAGTATGTGTAATCGCACATTTTGTGTGTTCATTTAGGATGACATGCACGTGAGGGTGTTTAATTACAACACGTTGGAGCGTGTGCACAAGTTTGAAGCACACTCGGATTACGTGCGCTCGATTACCGTGCATCCGACAGAGAGCTTCATCCTCACCAGCAGTGGTACGGTCATGCTTGTCAGAAAACAAAACCCATTATTCAAAACACATTGCTGAATTCAGTAAAATGGTTTAACGTGCTTGTGATAAGGAATTTTCACTGGTAACAATAACTATATTATATGTAATAATATATGCTTCAGTTTAAGTTGCTGGTTTTTTAGTTCACCTTCTCTCCTGGTCATGCAGACGCAAACTCATAATGCCTGATCGGCAAAAATTTTTAGCCGTATCAATGTAACTAATTCCTTTAATGACTGTGCAATTGAATTACAAAGAACCTCTTCTACATTTGATCATATGTAAAACAGTCAACATGTTATTTTGTGCATCTTGTCAATTTTTGTGTGTCTGAACATTTCAGATGACATGTTGATCAAGTTATGGGACTGGGACAAGAAATGGGAGTGTAGCTGTGTGTTTGAGGGACATACGCACTACGTTATGCAGGTGGTGTTCAATCCGAAAGACAATAACACATTTGCTAGCGCCTCCCTGGACAGAACCATAAAGGTACTATATTGGCATATTACATAGACTTGTACACAAATGCGCACTTATGTTCGTGTAATATAAAATGTTATATTATGATGTAATGTTTAAAGTAATTATTTTAAAATCATTGCTTAAAAATTCACAATCTAGAAAAAATTATAGTGAAATATAGTATTACCTAATATCGGATTTTTTACTTATTACACCAACTTGAAAAACACTACGAGTTTATGCTGTTATAGCTTGGAAAATTGGAATTGAACGTGTCATAACACCATAGCACATTTGATTATACCGACAATTACTTTGCAAATAGGGCCTTCAAAACAAAAGGCTGATTCTGTGTGGTACGATTTTTAAATTACTTATCACTGGCCGATATCTCGCGCTATTGCGATAAAATCCGAGATTTGGAAGAAATGGTTGCAGAATTGAAACGAGTAATCAAAATTCAAATTGTGAATGTTTTTGGTGAATATAGCTAAGTACGTGTAAGTTTTTAATACATGTTAGCGTTACTCTAGACAGTTGCTGTTGCTCGAGCAATAACAGTAAGTATCGTAAAAGTGTGGAAAACATGAGACCAGTCTGAAAATTATTTTTGAAATCCGTACTTTAAAGCTTGCTTATAAGGAAAAGCTCTCAAATTTTAACACATACATTACTTCTATCAGCAAAGTCCTTACTTTGACAAACATGCAATACAGTATCCTATCTGAATGTAATACTGCAGAGGGCATTTCTACTTACAACCAAGTTCTGTATGCATGTCCATCCACTTGGTTTACTCACAGGTGTGGCAGTTGGGAAGCAGTACACCGAATTTCACTCTAGAGGGTCATGAGAAAGGAGTAAATTGCGTCGACTATTACACGGGCGGCGACAAGCCTTACCTCATCTCGGGAGCAGACGACAGACTTGTGAAGATATGGGACTATCAGGTATGAGACGGGTAGATTCGAGGATGGTTAGTGTCAGGTGATGCTTGCACCAGTGCTCAGTTGCCAAGTCTGTGAAGCATTTGAGGGCCCTTCTGCGTTGATCCTTTTAGGAGTCCTTCCATGTTGACTTTTTTTTAAGAGCCCTTGCATGATGACCTCTTGTATGATCCTCCTATGGTGACCTTGATGTGAAACACCATTTCCTGAGCTTTGCATTGATCATCGTTTTGTGACCTTGGCATTTTCCATTGAGACATTGACATCTGTGGTAACCTGAGTCACAGTCACTAACAATGGTATTCATCATTGCAGAACAAAACCTGTGTTCAGACGCTGGAAGGGCATGCACAAAACATTGCAGCTGTGGCTTTCCATCCAGAACTCCCCATTATCATGACAGGATCAGAAGATGGTATATGGAATAGACCACTACCATGAGCTGATAGCTGGTTCTTCTATTGGTTCAGCCATCATGTGTTCTTTGATACCTCCAAGGTTTTGCTTACAAAGAATAAAAATTTGCCAGCTTTTGCAGTTAGAGTTGTCATAGCACCGTACGGACTGAAGTGCAGCTATCAAAATCGAAACTAGTATTTCATTATTAGCATAATGTTAATTACTGAGGTGTAATCTCGAAGCAGCACAATCCGATTGTTAAGTATAGCACACTGGGAGTACAGCCTCTAAATGTGATCTCAGCAGGTTTTGGTCTGTTTTCAATGTCTAATATATGTTTTTACATGGCCGCAATCACTATACATAATGATTTTAACGATATATGATGAAAGCACGTGAGCCAGTCAATATGCCTGGGATAACTCTGTGTATCTGGTCATCGCAGGCACTGTGCGCATCTGGCATGCAAACACGTACAGGCTGGAGAGCACTCTCAACTATGGCCTGGAACGGGTGTGGACCATCGCTTACCAGCAGGGGTCGAACAGTGTTGCCATCGGTTACGATGAGGGAAGCATCATTATCAAGGTATGTCTTTGAATTTGCGCCTGGATGGTGACAGATGGAACCATTTAATTTACAAACCTGTTTACCCAGATGGTAGGATTATCATTATTCCCCATGGTAGTAGCAACATTAATCATCATCCAATTCAAATAAAAAATGATAGAAACATAAGGGAACCGAATGACATATTTCCACGAACATGCCTTATATGGTTTCTACCTGTAGCTCGGTAGAGAAGAACCAGCGATGTCAATGGACCAAAATGGCAAGATCATGTGGGCAAAGCATTGTGAGATCCAGCAGGCCAACTTGAAAGCAATGGTAGACACAGAGATTAAGGATGGCGAGCGCTTACCTCTGGCCGTTAAGGATATGGGCAGCTGTGAGGTGTACCCACAGACCATTTCTCACAGCCCCAATGGAAGGTAACATTCTTATTCAAGTCAGTTGTGCTCATTATTACATGAGCACTGAATCACGAGTGTTGAGGATTACATGTAGGTAGTAGGTAATCACGCCTGCCTGAAATCTCTCTTATGCTAAATATATTAGCTGTTCTGTGTCTTACTTAGGCACGATCCTACTTGATCTAAATTTTGCTTGTAATAGTTATAATTTTCACCTCGGTGGAATTTTATCTACCATCAATCCCCAGAGCTCAATTTTTGCAGTCGTCCGGTCGTCCATGACGACTGGATATTCTCTCGGGCAACTACAAATTGATTCCATGGTTGTCCGGTGTCCAACCTCTATAAAATCAATAACCTGAGCTCGCTCAATGTTTGCTCATCTGTTACTTGACACAGTGTTAATGTAAATGTTATGAAATCAATTTTATGCAACTTTTAATTACTATAGTTAAGTACGTCATTCAGGGACAACCATATTGCTACTCTGGAGGACAACCGGAAAAAAACCTTAAAATTGAGCCCTGATCCCATATGTGGTTTATCTCACTTGTGTTCAGTCTCACTTGTGTCTAATCTCACCTGTATATATCTGTATACTTCAGTCTTATGTGTGTCAGTAATGAACGGGGTAGCAACTGCGAAGAAACCTAATTACGTTTTCCCACCATCCCCTGCATAATGCTACTCATGTAGTTAGTCTCAGCTGTCTGAAATCTCCCAGGTGCCAAACATCACCTGTGTTCATTGCCACGTGAGGGATCTATATCCTCTTCAAAAATCCTCACGCCTTCGAGTCGTACACGTGTGCAGTGTCGTGATTCCATATAAACGCTCACAATTCATGACCTTATCTGCCTTTACACTGTGAGATAAGCCTGGTTAGAGCAACCTTGAAGAAACTCGTGATAGTACACCTGCCCCCTCCCCCTCCCTTCTCGCATCTCATTGGCTGCATGTGTCGATTGGCAGGTTTGTCGTCGTGTGCGGCGACGGAGAGTACATCATCTACACAGCGATGGCGCTGCGCAACAAGAGCTTTGGCTCGGCGCAGGAGTTCACGTGGGCGCACGATCCCTCCGAGTACGCCGTCCGCGAGAGCTCAACGGTCGTGAAGATCTTCAAGAACTTCAAGGAGCGCAAGTCGTTCAAGCCGGAGTTTGGTGCGGAAGGTGCGTAGCTTGGCGGTCGCCGTCGTCCGTCTGCTCAGTCGAGCCTCTGGGAGGTGGACATGAATTTTTGTGTGTGCTCTTTCTTTAGTTGGGGTTGTTTAAAAAATAATAATATTGCATGCTTAGAATAAGAGTATCTGTGTAAGGAAAATCTCATGCGTTAAAATTAAATTGTAACCTGTGCCTCGATAATAAGAAGCTACAAGAATGTACAATATGATTGACATGCCAATTGGTATTATAAAATGTGAATAACTGTGATAACTCTTAGGCATTATTCCAGATATTCAAAGCACAAATATAAATGTAGTCATCTAAGGAAGTGCAAGTGACTACTGTATATGCTGTATATTTTGCGGTGGTTTAATTTTCGCGAATTTCGCGAACGCGTCCCCGACCGCGAAAATAACAACACGCGAATATTTCATACCGAATAATTCATAATTCACCGACCGCGAAATTAACCATTCGCAAAATTGTCAGTAATGTCTGAATTTGCGAAAATATCTCTATGAAATATCTTAGTACAATCTTTAGTAGTATCTCTATACAATACTAGCTGGGCTACCCGGCAATGCCCGGGATAAAGAAGAAAAGAGCTAGAATTTAGTCTGCCATCACGGCTGTACATCCATCCCTCTCCCTCCCTTTCCCTTTTTCCCCCTTCCCCTCCCTCCCCCTCCCCTTTTCTCTTTTTCCCCCTTATTTTTCCCCTTATTACATACATAAATCTACTACATAAATGGGGGAATCTGTCCAAACTCGTTCGAAAATGTACCGGTCATTCGCAGGGGGGGGGGGTTGAGGGAATGTTATATTAATATTACTAATACTGTAACGCTTGTACCTTATATACTGTATAGCAGTGTTTAACAGCAATACATGCGTTCATCACGACCACAGACGAAAGATTGACGTATCGTTGACTCTGGTATTCTTGCGTTACACACTGAACAGTATACACACCTCTCGAGCGCTGTAACTGACAAAGCGTACTCCCTGCAGGCTGCGTTCAATGCTTTGCACCCGAACCCACCCAAAAGCGAAACCGAAACCGTCAATTCTCGAGCGCTGTAACTCACAAGGCCTGCGTTCACTGCTTTGCACCCGAACCCACCCAAAAGCGAAACCGAAACCGTCACTTCTCGAGCGCTGTAACTCACAAAGCCTGCGTTCACTGCTTTGCACCCGAACCCACCCAAAAGCAAAACGAAAATCGTTGGAAAATGTACCGCTCATTCGCGGGGGCGCCACCGTCCAATAACATTTTATGCATTGGATTGAATTAATTTTAATTGTTGCATGCCCCTATCGGGCCATGGAAGAATGACATAATGACATAATAAACATAGGAATCGTGTATAGAACATTTGACAAACAATGAAATAAATGGTAAGATTTAATAAATAACTATAGCACCCGGTGTCACATGACACCATAGATAGTTCACGTACATATACGGTCGTTTTTGATGTTTTTGGCTTTTTTTAAATATTTTGTTGCCTTAATTTGCAAATTTTTTTGGCTTAAAATGGTCGTCGCGTCATGCTGATTCAAAATATAAATGGTGTTGTGTGTCTCCTGTTACGTGTCTCGAGAAGATTGACGGACAGAGTGACAGACAGATTCCCTCATTTATGTAGTAGATTATTAGACTGAGAGAAATTAAAGTCAGAAGTCTACTCACATTAATGTTTTTGTCACCTTTGTTAATGTCTGTGTTCCTACGTTAACCCTGCCAGTGGAGTCACTAGTGAGGATACAGCATCTAGCCCTCACACATTGTCGCTGCAGGTATATTCGGAGGCTACATGCTGGGTGTGCGCTCTCTCAGTGGGCTCAGCTTGTATGACTGGGAGAATCTAGACCTCATCAGACGCATCGAAATCCAACCGAAGCACGTACGTCATCCAAAATAAGTACTGCATAGGACTTGCAGACAGTTTGACTATGATGCGACCGCACCATTTCATTGGGCAAAGTTGATAAAAGTCTTATAGTCAATACTATGACACCTATATAGGTTTGTGGTCTTTGTGTTGCATAGATGGAAACTAGGCTGTCTTGAATTCTTGTCGCTGGCTTCAATGGCTGGTTTTCTTAGGATTCGCATATATGTTCCATAAAGTCATAAATGTTCCACAAAAGAAATATCATCCTACATGCATTTCATGATCTAGGAATGTGTTTGCACATGGTCGTGTTGTAATTGTTCCTGAATTCTGCATAATCATGTGTCCGTGTTGTGACTTCCTTCATTGCATATAGTCTTGACTTCCCATTGTAACTGTCTTGTACCTTTGCAGGTATTCTGGTCAGAGAACGGTGAGCTGGTGTGTATAGCGACAGAGGACTCGTTCTTTATACTCAAATACAACTCTGATGCGGTCGCTAACGCCGCAGAAGACAAATCGCTCGTCAGCGAGGACGGTATAGAAGACGCATTCGATGTGAGTATGTTGTAATCGTGATGTGAATACGATCACAATGCGATACGAATATCCATGCCTACATCTGCCTAATCAGTGATTACCTAATACTGCATCTGTGTTTAGTTTTATTGGTTGCAAGAACAATCTACATGTATCTTCAATCTTGAAGAACCATCTACATGGTCTGTAGATGGTTTATGCTCTCTGATGATTAAGGACACGTAGTGAGATACAGCGGGTTACTAATCAGTTGATCTTACTGATTTGTGCGGTTTCATAATGCATTACAAGGAAGATTTTCTGAATACTCCTGGCTCTGGGGGGAGGGGGGGGGGTGTTCGTGTACATGACTCTTTTAGAGCAAAACATTGTATTTTCTCATTCCTTATGGTAAGACTCTCAAAAAAAGTTTGGGTAACACTTCTGGGTCAAGTAAGTTTTTTGTGTACAGCCCATTATGTGATTTTCGGTTAGGCGCCAAAGTGGAAAAATTACAATATTGAAGTTTCAGAGCAGAATTCTTTATTAAGTAACCATAAACTTCCAAATGTCACTGAATTACATTGAATAAGTATTACTAACAACTTTCTAGCATGATTTGTTGCCATAAACATTGTTTCATGGTACGAAATGGCTACACGGTTCGTAGCAGGTCTTCCAAAGTCTTATAAGTACTTATTTTGCCAAAAATTAAATAAGGGCCCTTATTAGTACTTATTTTTGGTGAAATCTTAGAAAAGTACTTAATAGTCCTTATTTTTTGCCAAAGGACCATTTTTAGCTCATCTGACATAGTCAGATGCAGCTTGTAGAATCGCATGATCGTGCGTGCGTGCGTGCGTGCGTGCGTGCGTGCGTGCGTGCGTGCGTCAACAGTTGGGCACAAATCTTAACCGCTCGATGTACGGTCACGATAGTTCGGGACGGGGGGGGGGGTAATCCGAAAACGAGTTGGGATGTCGAAGCTGGGGGTCAAAGGTCAAAGGGCAAGAGGTGTAAAAGAAGGGGGAACATTCCCTCCTTAACTTAAGGTATAGG